CGCAACTTTTTGGCGGTCACTGTATATGATGATCGATATTTATGATCGATGTGATAAGCATATTCTTTTGGCGCCTTTGCATTTAAAGCTATCGGGGTGCTGCTTGTACTACTGAATAAGGTTATATACCCAATGAACGTCATTCTTGATTACGACCCTTCCCCTCGGTCTTGCCCCCCCCCCCCTTATGACCCTCCAGGTTACGCACGCCTGACCTCACGCTCAACCTTGGTCTTTTGCCATTGTCATCCAGGGTAAACATAGGCTATTGCAAAAGTACAGGTTTTTTCAAAGCAGTTTTTCTTCGTTGAATTTCTGCGAATTTTTGTGTGTGAGTTGAGCAGATAATTAATAGATGCTTGAAGATTCGGGTGGTAATTTCACCAGAGCGGTAAAAAATAAGCAGATTGAATACCTGGAGGAAGACAGTGAAGAAAATCACAACTAAGGTAGTTGTAATGAACATCCTTTTTGCCAGTATTGTTTCTGGAATAGAAATCGCTAAACCAAATGCAATCGCTCCGCGTAGACCACCATAGGAAAGGATCAGTTGGTCAACCTGGAAGAGATGTAATAAGTATAGAAGTGAAATAAAAACTGTGCGCTTACCTTGGTAAATCTTTTGCCGCGAAATTTGTTCAGAAGGAAACATTGCACCAGGACACCTGCAACAACGAGTCATTACTTCGTGAGAGAACCTCTTTACAGTGAGCCATTTTGTTGACGAGCGGGTTTTTGAATGCCCTTTACTTCACTTTCTCATGATTATTGAGATCGTCGGAAGGGCACTGCACTGTAAGAAACGTCGATAAGCTTTGGGAGTGATCACGACTTAGAGAATACATTTTATTACATGCCAGAAGACATTTGTAGTGCTGTAATGCGTGAAAAGTTCTGCTACACAACGCACAATTCTTTATTATGGAAAAAATATACGATTTTTCAATGGCGGACTCCCCAAGGATAGCTCGAAATTTCAAAAGAAGCCTACGTTATAAAATTATGCGAGTTTCGGTACTCTTCCGTTATCCGGACCCATTTTTTCAAA